TCTGGTTTTGTGTAATTTCCTCAAACTGTATTTGCAAAGAAATTGCCATATAACCTTAAAATCTTACCCTAGAATTCTCGAGGGATATAGAAAATTCTATGTTGATTCGATGTTATCTGTTGCTCCTCGTTTCCTCTGGGACGTCGACATTTGGATGATTGTCAAAGATCACTAGGAACAGATGCAAAAGTTTAAAGTTAGGGGGACACAATTGAACTTGCAAAGAAGTTGAGAGAAATTTTACAATTGAAAATTTACGTCCAAAAAAATATACCACATGTAATTTTACATCCTAAAAATTTCCTAATAAAATGATGAAAATTACATTGAGAAATTTTTATCGCAAAAATAATAAATGTTAATGAAATAATTGAATTTTTTTTTTAAAAAAGCGAGTTAGACGTCTTTTTAAAGGTTTACGTTTAACGTATTTTTAACTATTTTCGATATACGTTTGAACTATTCGANGAAATTTGTATCTCAAAAATAATAAATATTAATGAAATAATTGATTTTTTTAAAAATGCGAGTTAGACGTCTTTTTTTAAGACTCACGTTTAACGTATTTTTAACTATTTTTGATATCTGTTTGGACTATTCGATATGCTTATAATGTAGTTCTCGAAAAAAACTTTGAGATAACATACGCAATTTGTAGATTATATTAGCGTATGATCGTCGGAGAATTTTTAAAATTAGCATATTATCAAAATTCAAATTTATTGTGATTTTGTCCTTATTTGGTGGAGATTAAATCAAAGTTTTAGTAAATTTTGATGAAAGTTAAACAATTATGGATTTTATGAAATATGTTATTAAAATTAATTGTTTACTTTGATTTAGATTAAAATTTAAATTTCAATCAATATCAAATATGACTTTATATATATATATAAATTCTCAAAAGTTGGGGGGGGGGGTCATGTGCCCCCATGACCCCCCTGGGTCCGCCCCTGAAGACCGCCACAAGTATTTTCACTAATAATATCTATGCATTCTAATGTATGTTACATTGCGCTTTTTAGTGAAAAGAGTATAACGAAAGCCGCATTAGTATTTCGGCATGCACTTGCTGTGAATTTGTAATCAATTAGGATAAAGGTTGTTAACTTGTTTTTGGTGAAACTGTAGGAGCTTTATCTAACCACAAAATTGGAGTCGGCAGAGAAATTTTGGAAAGAATTATCTTTATGCTTCTGCTTTAGGCTTGCTAATTGTTTTTTACATTTGATGTTTGTCCTTTGACGCCTTCTATGTGATGTGAATTGTAGTGTTAATTTTTAGTGATGGTACAATATATAGAGTCTAAATTTACTGTTTGACACACATTATTTTTTTCATTCTTATTCTTCTACTCATTTTCAATCACACATTCTTTAATAAAATAATATTTTCCATCACATCAATAACTTTTCTTTCTATTTCAGCCACATATTCCCTATCATATCACTTCAAAAAAATGCATTCTCTCATTTTAATATGCACCAAACACACTCGTATTTTTCCCTTATCTTTGAGTACCTTGCAGTATTTGATTGGATATTTCCTATTGCAATTTTAAGTTGTTGAATGCGTATAGAGAACATGCGTTATAGCATTTTTGATTTTTTTTTTTTGGTTTCTGCATTGTAAAAGAAAGAATTAGGGAGATAAACTTTTTTGCCTCACACAGCATGAATTACTGGCTCTGCCCTTGGTCATTTTGCGCTACACAGTGTGATCGCTGTCAACAAAATTACATTGGTTTGTAAAGCCTATGTGCTACAAGTTGCTCTATAACTTGCCACGCATTTCCAAAATAGAAGCCTTAAGTATTTAACGTTCCTTTCATTTGTTGTTCTCGATTCTCTTTGAGCAGGAATAGGAAGTTGAATTTTGATGCAAAAATCCTTTTATTTAACTACCATTCATAGGCAATTTCCAACTCTATTTAACTACCATTCATAGGGGTGATCTCTGCAATCTTCTTCATTTTCAGCATTGATTTGATATAAAATTGCTGTTGAAATTCAATAAAAAATGGAGGGAAGTCTTTAATTATTGAGGATAATGGCACGGCATGGAATAAATTTAAAGTGTCCATAACATGATTTGATCATAAGAGACCCGTTGTGTTTTTATAAGGATAATAATTCAAATTCTATTTAGATATTATTTTATTTT